TGTGGGGTTTCAGGACCTGCCTGCGGACAGGAGTTGACAGGGCTAGAACTGAGCTCCTGCCACAAACCCAGAATCTAAGAAAGGGCCGTTTTCTCCCTCAATAGGTCTAGAAAAACTGTCCACTGGGGGGGTCCAGAACTGGAATGTGTGTGCTGGGCGTTGGTTAGTAACAGAGTCACAGAGAGAAACAGGCATGCACCGTGCTCATCTAGTGCCGAGGGGAACAACGCGGTGTGGAAAAGTCTGAGCTGAGAAACTAGTGCGAAGTGTTCTGGGATCCAGAGCTCAGCAATGGCAAACACTTCCGCCATCCAGGCCATGATGGGGTCTCTAGCAAAGGCAACCCTGTGGAAGATGAGCTCACAGACACATACTACAAAACACACATGGCAACTCACGGCTGTAAGAGTGAGCAAAAGCAACAGGTTGGGGAGCCGGGGGCGCCCCAGCTGTGAATCCCAAAGTGCCTTCAAAACACGCAGGTTTCAATGTTCAAGATACTAACACCATATTTGGATTCCCAAGACAACAACAGGTCGTTACAAAAAAGAACAGGAAAAACTGAAACAGAGCCAGAATTTTACTTCTAAATTCTAGAGCTAAGAATATAGTATTTGAATAAAGAACTAAGTAATGGGTTAAACAGCAGAGTTTATACACTGAGGAAGTAGTGAACTGGAAGGATGGAAAAAGTTTTCACCATAACACGCTGGAAATGCCCCAAATGACATAGCAGCAGGGGCTTCAGAAACAGCCTGTGAGGAGTCAGCCATGGCAGGTGCCCACAGGTGCTGAGATGCCGGCTCCGACGGCAGTGAGTTCCGTGTGTGCTTTCTAACCTCTGTCTGTGAGCCCATACCCAGTCACCACCAGGGCCCAGGCAAGCCTCAGACTCACCCACTNGACCTGGAGTAGGAGTATGGCTCAAGGGCCAAATCTGGCCTCTTATCTGTTTTATAAATAAAGTTTTATTGGAACAGCCATGCTCACTTGTTTCTGTATTATCAATGCCTATTTTTGTGTTACAATGGCAGAACTGAGGAGTTGAGGCAGACTGAAAGGCCTGCAAAGCCTAAAATATTTACTATCTGGTTTTTTACAGAAAAAAATTTCCCACCCTCTGCTCCAGAATCTCCAGTGTAGTTTGGACTGGGTCATGTTTCCATTATCAAATAGACAACTGGCCTAAAAAATGTCATGTGACTTCAAAGCTTTGGTAGATAAGATGGTCCCCAAAGATGTCCATGTCCTAATCCTCTAAACCTGTGAGGGTTTACCTTACATGGCAAAAGGGACTTTGTAGATGTGATTAAGGATATTGCAGTGAGGCAATTATCCAGGTGGGCCTAATGTAATCATAAGAATCCTTATGTGAGTCAGGTAGGTCAGAGTTAGAAGGAGAGGATATGATGGGAAACAAAGACATTTGAAGATGCTACACTGCTGGCTTTGAGACAAGGGAGCCACAAGCCAAGGAATGCAGGCAGCTTCTAGAAGCTGGAAGAGGAAAGGAAACAGCTTCTCCCCTAGAGCCTCCCAAAGGAGCCAGCCCTACTGACACCTTGACTTTAGCCCAGTGAGGCTGATTTTGAACTTCTGACCGCCAGAACTATAAGACAAGAAACGTGTGTTAAGGCCACAAATTTGTGATAATTTGTTACAGCAACAACAGGAAACTAATACAATACCATAAGCCCAAATAGCTCGGATAAAATTGCCAATATTCTCCAACTGAAGTCAATATAATGACAATTCATTGATCGTCACTGAATCCCACAATGGTTTGAATTTGTAGAGGATTATGCCATCTTTTAAGCCTAGCTAAAAGCGGGTTTCAATGCTCACACCTGTCACCCCTCCTATCAAATTGCAACGATCTTATTCAGCGTGGTCCTGTTTGGAAGTAATCTTTTCTTGATCTCTGCTGAGAGGCTGTAGGAAGGTCCCTGGTGAAAGGGAGTCATGGTGATTGCTAGGATTGGAGGAGGCTGTGGCAGATTGGGAGTCTCTCCTTGCCAGCTTCCCTGATGCTGGACCTGAGGAATGGCTGCTGTGAGAAAGGCCTGCAGCATGAGTCCTGGTGATGTCCCAGTGATGCCTCGGCATGGCGGTGCACAGGCTGCAACTTGTGACATGGGCCTGCTGGGTGTGCTGTGGAGCCCCACGCGCCTGGCCACTCCCGCTAAGTGTTTCCTGAGTGAACACACTGCTGCTGCCCTACTCAGTGCTCACTGCCTCCCA